CAGTTACACCGCAGCTCATGAGCTGCAGCAGCACATTAATATAGCCCCGCCCCCGGCCCCGCCCCTCTGTATGATGCAAACAAACATGGTGAATGTTCATGTTCTTCTTCCAAGCTGAAGGTTTGGCAGGTTTGTTTAATCCAGTGTGAAACATCTGGACTGTGAGCTCATGTCCCAAAAATCTGTGACGTTTGCTTCTAACGGTGTCGTTCTGGACCCAGCGGAGGCCGCGGCGCTTCTTTAGAGATCCTGCGTCTCTGAGCTCTTCCCAACACGTTTGAATCTTTGTGCCAAACGGCTCCTTCAGCCTCTAATGGCCTCCTCCGTGTGTCTGCTGGAGCTTTATTCCAGATGTTCACACGAGCCAGTTTTACTGAGTCTGAGATCTGAGTCCCAGCGCGAGCTCAGCTTTCACTTTGTATCCAGAAATGATGAGCTGCGTGTTAGAAGAGACCGCAGAGCTTTAACAGACTCGACCTTCTTATCAGGGTCATCAGCAGAAAATGTCACAACTGGAGTTTAAAAGTGATGTTTAGGAGGCACAGAGGGAATAATGAAAGACGGGATCCAGCTGGCTTTGGGGAAATTGAACATTTCTTCTACTTCTTTGAAAGTTTTTCTCAGGATTTAGTCGAGCCTGTGCAGACAGATCGAGGCTAATCTGACAGTTTGCAGTGAACAAAGTTTAACATGTGTGCGTCTTTGTAGAAAGAAGCAGCAGCCGTGATGAAACTGATGGGTGCAGCAGATAACACTGTTGCTTTAGAGACGACCAGTCCGTGCTGGGTGTTCACAGGTGGAGGTGGGCGAAGCTCGCCTCTGTCACGTTGGATGCTTTTCGTTTTTGACTCTCTGGTTCGGGTAAAGACGAGAAGCAGCTCGATGGTGAGTTGTGGTCAAATGCAGCAGCAACCCTGCACGATGAGAGCAAAGCTCAATGCTGTGAGCCGAACATCAGCCTGTTTATTGTTCACACAGATGTGACTTTGTGTGAAGCCGTGTGGGTGTTATTTCCACCACTTCCTGTTTTTTTTCCCTCTTTACGGAAAAGTGCAGTGTGACATCACAGATTCCCGGATAAAAAGTTAAACATGGACGTTTGACCCCAGAACGTTGATAACACAGAAGAAGAAGAACGGCGTGGTGTCTGTTTGGACATCAGCAGTCGGTGAGGAGGGGAACTGTGATGATCCACATCTGTTTTCACAAAGGAGGTCTGGGAGAGGAAGGAGACCCCCCCCTCACTGCTCCGTCTCTCGGCTGATAAGAGGCCCTCGTCTGACCCTCAGAGTCAGGATGTGTCTGCGTGGAAGCAAATATTCTCTTATTAGTAAAAAGAGGCGAATCTCCTCATATTTAATATCAGCAATGAAATAACGGCGCCTGGTCCGAGCTCAGTATTCAGTAAGCCAATGGGATTTGACTGATGACGGAGCCCCTCCCCCTTCCTGCTCCGTTGGTATTTTGAGCACT